TCATGTGATGTTGTGATTTTTTTGTGTTTATTTTTATACCTTGTGCAATTTGTCTTGTTGTTGGTAAATTGATAACAATCTGATTTATGTTGAAATTGAGAGCCCGTGGCTATTACCAAGCGGATTATAAAATGAAATGTGGGCACGAGGTGCCGTGAGTAAATAATGAGGATATTTGGCACGTGAATTATCCGTGCAGTTATGATATGAAATGTGGGCACGAGGTGCCGTGAGTAAATAATGAGGATATTTGGCACGTGAATTATCCGTGCAGTTATGATATGAAATGTGGGCACGAGGTGCCGTGAGTAAATAATGAGGATATTTGGCACGTGAATTATCCGTGCAGTTATGATATGAAATGTGGGCACGAGGTGCTGTGATGAAATGATAATGATATTTGGCATATGAAATGTCCGTGTAGTTGTGATATGAAATGAGGGCACGAGGTGCCGGAGAAATATGATGATTTAATTATGGGCACAAAGTGCCGTGAAAATATGAAAATGGGCTGAGACCCATATTTATGAAAAATATGAAAATGGGCCGAGACCCGTATTGTTTTATGATTATGAAATGAGGTGTCACATGGTGACTTTTTAATTGAAAGAATTATATTCAAAATATTTATTTGGAAGGATTTTTATTCAAAAAGAATTATATGAAAGAATTGTATTTGAAAGATATTTATTCGACGAAAGTATATTTGAAAAAGTGTTTTATTCGTAAGAATTATATGTGAAAGATATTTAATTGAAGAACTTGATTTAACTGGGTGTAATTGTATTTATTAATTGTTGAGCGATATTAAATGGTGATTTTATTGTCTTACTGTGCATATCATTGGTTGTTTTTTGTTGCCTTGATGTTATTTGTTTTACTATTATTTTGTATATTATATTGCACAGGTTATTAGACTAGTGAGTATCTTGACTGTAACTCGTCTCTACTCCATTGAGATAGTCTTGATACTTACTGGGTACTGACCGTGGTGTACTCATACTACACTTTTGCATATTTTTGTACAGAGCCAGGTACTGGAGATATCAGATTTGGGCAGAGTAAAGCGGGATCATAAGGATTCAAGGTAGAGCTGCTTGGTCGTCGCAGTCCCTTGGAGTCTTTTCATTTCATTGTACTGTTAAATTTTTATCAAACAGTATTGTATATTCGGTCCTCGTGATCATCCCATGTATTCAGTTAGAGTTCGCGACCCAGTACTACCAGTCTTGGGAGGTTGTATATTCATATTTGTTCCGCTGTTAGTTTTGATTACTTATTTAAATAAATAAACAAAAATGGCTTCAAAAATATAATTGAAATCGGCTTACCTAGTTTTAGAGACTAGGTGCCATCACGACGCCTATGGTGAAATTTTGGGTCGTGATACTAGGTTTGTTACTTACTCAGTACATGGGGTCGGTTGTACTGATACTACACTTTTGCACATTGTGTGCAGATGTTGGCTGTTGTTGTTGTTGCTGTGCTCGATGGTTGCGGGACTTGAAGATGTACCTGCGTTCCTGTTGTAGCTGCCTCTTGTTCAGGGTAACCTTAGATTTATAAAATTTCTGTTTATGTATTATTCAAATAGATTATGTATTTATTTTATTTCCGCTTTGTATACTCTATTCTTAGAAGCTCATGATTTGTACTGCCAGTTCTTAGGGATTGTATAAGATTAAGATTTTTATTCACTTAAATTTCTTTAATAATTATTATTGGAATTGGATAATTGAAAGTTGGTTTACCTATCGGGTTGAGTTAGGTGCCATCACGACTAGTTGGATTTTGGGTCGTGATATTTATACAACTGTAGGAAAAACAAAGACGCGGGTATTATGTGATTTTTATAGGGTGAACACACAATTACCTACAAAAATAAAATTATTTAGCCTTGCTTATTCATTTACTTTTCTACCCATCAAACTAATTAGTTTTCTTCTTTTTTCTCTTTTTTTTTTTATTTCTCTACTTCTTTTCTTTTTTCTCGTTTTCTTCTTTTTTTCTTTTTCTTTTTTCTCCTTTTTTGTTCATTTATTTTTGCTCAAATCACATTATTATTATTATTATTATTATTATTATTATTATTACCGTAATTTAATTTCACACTCAATTTTGGCTCCTTTTTTATTATTGTTTTTTATTTTTTTTTCTTTTGCTTATTTTCTTTTTTTCATATTCCTTTTCTAATTTCATTTAACTCCTTTTTGTTATTTTCTTTTTCTCTTTATAATCTAATTTCATTTACTTTTTTGCTCTTCTATATAATTTTTCTTTTTTATACAATAAGAAAAGATAATTGATACAGTAAATATTTGTTCGTATTTTTTTAATATAACTAGTATAATATATATTTTATCTTTTTTTATTATTTTTTTTAATTCAATTATTCGAATAACTTATACATTATAACAGTTTTCTCTTCTCATTTTTGATTTTTTTTGTTTTTTAATTTTATTTATTATTATTATTATTATTATTATTTCAAATTATTTATTTATTTCCTTCTTTTCATAATCTAACTAGTTTCTATCAACGTGTGTTGCACATTAATAATGACACATAATAATTTAGTAAATTATTTATATGAAAAAAAATAAATTTAATTACGTTATATTCACACACACATAGCAATTATTTAAATATAAAAATATCATTATATTAGCATAATACATGAACTCAAAATGATTGGACATCACCTGAACCTACAAAATGATCAATCTAGTTAAGTATTACCATGTAGTTATAGTTTAGAAATATGCAATGTGATGATATCTTACTTAAGGACTTATTTGTACACAATTATTTTGTGTACGACCCCTTCTGATTCTTTGGTTGCTCTATCTTGATAACCAAAACTAATATTAGCATTGGGCTTATAACCAATTATTTTGGAAGACCAACCAAATCTATTTTTACAATTATGTTATATGTTCAAGACACAAACAACATCTACCCTGAGTATAAAATTAATTTTATTATCTAATATGGTAAATTCACTTAATTAAAAGAAAAAATCTGATGATTTTTAATCAATTTTTCTTCCTTATCAATTTTTTATTTTCGCCACCTTCTTCCATTATCACAATTTGACAGACCCTACGCCACTCTCATCACCCCAATTTTACACACCACAAATATTGTACATCACAAAGTCACAAACACCATTTTTTCCCCTTAAGTCTTTCGTCAATATTTTACTATGATCATATCTTAATGTTGAATATTTTCTCCAAATAAGTTCTGGTCTGTAATGATGTAAGCACCAACACCACCGCCAAACAACAAAATCCTTTCTCTCATTCCATTTTCTCAACTCACTATCAATGAAACAAAATATAAAGAGTTATAAATATTTTAGGTATCTTTAATATTTATTCTAAACCCTAAATATTGGACTCTTCAAATTAATAAAAACATTACTTAAGAAATATCGGTGAAGTAACTTCACGATATTCTTTTGTATTAGGTAAAGTTCAAATATTAAAGTATATCCAACAGAATGGATAATTTTATGTTAAAAGGGGGAAAAATATTTTAATGTGCAATGAAAAGGATAATGAACCGAAATTGAAAATAAAATTCAACCTTCAATAAACGACGATCCGTTAGAGAAACTCATATATGCACTAAATATTTATCATTTAGCTAAAATTCTTAACTGCAATTTGCATTACAAAGATCTGTTTGCTCCCTAACAATAGGCTAACAATACAAAACACAAAACTTATATAGAGTAATACAGCCTGTTTGGCCAAGCTTTTTTGGGCCAAAAAGTATTTTTTTTAAGCCAAAAGTGCTTTTTTCAAAAAATTGAGGTGTTTGGCCAAGCTTTTGGAAGGAAAAGAGTGCTTTTGAAGAGAAGCAGAATCAGTTTTGGAGAAACAGAAAAAAATAGTTTCTCTCCCAAAGCACTTTTTTAAAAATCACTTTTGAGAAAAATAGACTTAGAAGTAGTTTTTAAAAGCTTGGCCAAACCTAATTACTGCTTAGAAGTGCTTTTCAAATTAATTAGTCAAATACAAACTGTTTCTCACCAAAAGTACTTTTGAGAAAAACACTTTTGAAAAAAGCTTTTCAAATTAATTAGTCAAATACAAACTGTTTCTCACCAAAAGTACTTTTGAGAAAAACACTTTTGAAAAAAGCTTTTCAAATTAATTAGTCAAATACAAACTGTTTCTCACCAAAAGTACTTTTGAGAAAAACACTTTTGAAAAAAACACTTATCAAAATAAGCTGATTTTTATAGCTTGGCCAAACAGGATAATAGAGAACATATTGCTTTCCTATTAAAATTGAGAACGGTCTAGCCAACCATCTACTTTTATTTTTCCCTGATTAAACCCTATTACAGCTGTATATTCTAATGGTTGCTTTACTTTATAGAAGTGTTTGGCTCCTCAATAAGTTCTCAAACTAAATTGGAGATACAGTTCAAATTGAAAAGAGAAAAGCAGATCAAGTTATTCAAATTTATATGATGATCCGAAAAGAAGTATGTCTGCATATGGTCGAAGAAGATATCCAAAGAGTAATAGGATTACTTTGTCCTAATCGAAAAAGAATTTCACCCTTGGATAATTTACAATTACATCCTTAAATTATACAAATATTTAAGGGCATAAAAGTCGATCAATATTTCGAAAATATTTTAATCGTTCAACATTTAGCATAAAATATTCGTGCTTTTATAATAATATAGAAGATAGATATAAATATAGATATAGATAGATAGATTCTGCAAGTACTCAAGTACTCACACATCTTTGGCTTTTTTCTTTCATTGAATTTGCATTTCAAGTACTCAATTATTGACCTATTCAATTTGAAACTTTTAGGCGTCTCTCTCCAAACTTCCAACCTAGCTCTCATCATTTATTTGTTAAGATTAAAAAATAAGATTCATGAGGCTTATGCATCCCGTCTTAGGGTTTGCGCTTCGCCCCGTGTAACATAAAACGTCTCGCCTTAAAACATTGCTTTGGAGAGGGAACGCTACATGCGCCACCATTTGAAAGTCAGGGGACCTAAACTGAATAATGCTGAACCTCAAGGGTCGAGCTATAACTTAGCCCGGAAACTATCAACTCATCCCACTGCACCTCCTTTCGACAGCAGCAGCAGCAGAGAAACGGATAAACCCTCCTAAAATCCTTGAGCTCAACAACGTAAAGCAAAGCCCTTCCGAAAGACCTTCAAAGGTATATATTGTTGCCATTGATTTTCATTTGCTATTATATTAAGGTTTCCTTGACAAATATCCCATTATGCTAAAGCAATTTCACACTTCAAAGCCACAGTCTTTACTAGTTGTATGCCATCCAATAATTCTAAAGCACCATTTCAAGTTGACATCTTTGAGTATTTCTAATGGTATCTGCAAGAAATCCCAAACCCATGATTTGAATCGCTTATTAAGCCCCAGAAATTTAGTCCCTTTCAGCACTAAACCACCTTCTAAAAATTTGAACTTGGATATATCTGTGAATTTTTCATGTGGATTTCACCCAAAATATCGTCTTGGTAACTACTGTTTAATTACTGCTAGAAGTTATTCAGCTTCGGATTATGGGAAAATAGCAGAAGGCAGTGAAAGGAATCTTCCTTGGCTTGCAAAAGATAAAGCTAAACAAACTAAGAGAAATGAAAAAGTTGTTATAAGCCGATCTTCGTGGGAGGAATCGGCTGAGAAGTTCTTAAAAGATGGTCGTTCTGCTGTGAAAAGTGCAGAATTCAAGAGATATGAGGATAGACGAGACGATTATCAGGGAAATACTTATAGTGGTGAAGGAGAAGACGATGAGGGAGATATGGAGGAAGTTGATGATCCAAGGTGGGATAAGATTAAGAACACGTTCAATCGGATTAAGGTAAGACCGGGGTCTGATAGGCCGGAGGTTAGAAGGTGGAACAATCAAGATAGTTGGGGTAAAAAGACATGGAAAGAGGCAACTGAATCAACCATACCACGAATGATTGGCGAGGGAATTTATGGGGTTGGCCCTGTTTTGGCTGCATTGTCTGCGGGAAGAAGGGAATTTTATTCTCTGTATATACAGGAAGGATTGGATTTGAGTGGGAATAACCGGAAAAAGAAGGATAAGAAAGGGTTTGAAAGAGTTTTGAGGATGGCGGAAAAAGTAGGATTGAGTAAAAAGGAGGTATCTAAACATGACCTCAATATGTTTGCTGATAACAGGCCTCATCAGGGACTGGTCCTCGATGTGTCTCCATTGGAAATGGTTGGTATCAAGGAGTTGGAACCTGTTTCAACTGAGGAAGAGAGCACTCCTCTTTGGGTAGCTTTGGATGAGGTTACTGATCCTCAGAATTTGGGGGCAATTATACGGTCTGCTTACTTTTTTGGAGCTGCAGGGATTGTCTTGTGTGCTAAGAACTCTGCACCGTTGAGTGGGGTAGTGAGCAAAGCAAGTGCCGGTTCACTTGAATTAGTGGAGTTGAGGTCTTGCAAGAATATGATGCAATTCCTAAAGTCTTCAGCAGAAAATGGATGGCGGGTCATAGGTGGATCTGTTTCTTCAAGAGCTGTTCCATTGCGTGAGATTGTGCCTGGTGCTCCTACAATCCTTGTTTTGGGAAGTGAGGGCACTGGTCTGAGGCCGTTGGTGGAGAGATCTTGTACTCAGTTAGTTAAAATTCCAGGAAACATCCCCGTGGATATAATTGTCGGAGAAGACGAAGATGATCATAGTTCGTCAGGTCAGAACTTTAGGTCCTTCATGGCTGTGGAAAGCTTGAATGTAAGTGTAGCAGCAGGTGTGCTTCTTCATCACTTGATTGCCAGCAATTGTAGCAAAAACAACTAACAAGAAAAACAAGCTAATGTAACTTTATTAGATTTGATTGCAATTGTTTCGGCGATTTTCATCTGCATTTTGATGGTATTGTTTCTGTGTTGTACAAGGAGTAATTTAAGTATGCATACAGGCATTTGGTGATTTTCCTGCAATAAGTCGGCTTTGTTCACCTTGCATATCAAAGTAATCTATCCAAGACTTGTTGAACTAGTTCTGCTTGTGATATTTCTCTGTACGAACTTGGTTGTTTTTGGAGTTGCCCTTTGTAGGCATGGTAGGTTTGATGGTACTTGTTGGAACTGATAATGCATGAAAACAGTAACAACAAACAACAAACAATGACATGTATGATCAACTAGAGTACAATACTGAAATTGTTGCGGATCTAAATATCAAAATTGCATTGTCAATGTATAGTATTAATTTTACTACTGAAAAATGTGACCAGGATAAAGGTTTATGATGTTTGCTGTGGTGGGGTCATGGCAAGCCAATGCGTTTTTCGATTTCATGGTACCTTGGGACATTTGGTTGACCTATAGACTCGTGCCTGCTTCTTGAATAAACATAAGTTTGACAATAGACACATAGTGATTACCGATTCATTATGGTTGAGTTTTTGTCTTGTGATTATTAACTGCTACATCTATGGATTTGCAAAGCAGAAAAGATAAAAATCTTCGAATACTCAGTGTGAAATGAGATATTGGGAAGGTGATATAATATTATGCGGTTAGAGATGCTAAACGAAACCTTTCTTAGCGTTACTGTTCTAACAAAAGAACAGCAACTACTGAAGAAAGAAAGAATCCCTTCATAGATGGACCAGCTATGTGTTTATTGAGCAAAAGGGAATCAAATGTGAGAATGAGGCATAAGGGAGTTTGCTTTCAGGTTAGGTAATACTTTATGAATATCTTCCCAGGCTTATATTCTTTGTTTCCTTTGAAATCTAGGAAGAATATTAAAAAGGGGGAAACCGAGTAACAAACTTCATGTTTGGGAGTTACCTATCAAAAGAAAAATCATGTTTGCTTTTGAGTATCATAGCTTGACTATTCTTGGGTAGAGTTTGTCAATCATGTGAGCCTTGAGTTTGCATCAAGTTATGATTTCCATGGAGAATGGAAGAGCATTTTCAGGAATCTCTTGTTATTTATTTATTTATTTTTTCTTTTTTCAATTTGTTTATTTGTTTCTTGTTATTGTGTGGGTTTGGATGGGGGTTTCCCTATTGATTTTACATGATAGAGAGGTAGTAAATTGTTTGAGGTTTTCACCATTCAAAAAGAAAAAGAAGAATATCCCTGGTTTTTCATTGTCACCTTCAACTGCCCAATTTGTGCATGATTTAGACAAATTACTTGAAAATACACTTGCTTGCTTACATGACTTCCTTATCGAAACAAGTAGTACATGACCTATAGTTGTTTTGGGGGTTTAAATATGAAATGCTTGTGCTAATGTATTTAGGTAATTAAACTTCTCGTTAATTATTTGTTTCTGATCTCCAGAATTGTGATATTATCTTGAAAGAATTACAAGAAAATACACATGACCTCACACCATAACAAAAAATGGCCCATGTTTTTAAGTTTTACCCAACCTAGCCCATATTGTATATATTTTGAAAGCACTAGCAAATTCAAAACTTGTGTTCTTATAACCATTGCTTCTAAAAGCTATGGAGTAAATATGTGTTCTCACACCATTGCTTTCACTCTCTCTTCTTCTCACATTTTCTACATATGCTTCAAGGGGCCGTCCGCCATTGCTGCTTCTTACCCTGTGTCACCTGGTTGCAATGTAAGATAATTGAAGAGTAGAAGTCCACCATTGAAGGTCATTCAAAGCTTTGCTTTCGAAAATAGGATTTTTTGAGTTTGTTAGTTGTTTGGATTGAGTGTTATTCCAATTGATTGAAAATATCAAAACGAGTTCAAAATTTAAATTTGAAGTGATTTAGAGTAGATTTGAGCAAGATTTGAGTTAAATTTTAGAAAAGACACAAGGAAGAAGACGAAGTCAGTTTTTTGTATAATTATGTATAATATTGTATAATAGTGTATAAACACATCTTATACACTATTATACACCTTTATACAAGCGTCTATAGACGAACTTCTTCCACGATTTTCAGTTGCAATTCTTGTTCAAAATCAGTTCAAATCTCCATTAAATGACTTCAAATTTTATATACAACCTCCTTATACTATTTCTAACAAGTCTAAATAATACCCACTCCAAATTTTTCACAAAATCAAATTTGAAATTTAAACCCACATGTGTAAGCTTGTTAAAAATTTAATTTTCACCATCCAAATAGATTTGTTTTGTTGAATTAATATTTGAGTCACAGTTACTGATTCGAAAGTTAACTTAAAAGGTTGAGCAATCTTTTTTAAAAATTAAATAGTAATTTCTAGAACCTATTGGAGTTGGATGTTGAATCTTAGCCTATTATTTTTGGTCTAGTTGGTTGTAAATTGAAATATGAGCTATAAAATTGAAATGCAGGGAGCTCAGTTGTTCTTATGTGAAATTTTCCCTATTATCTTCTTATTCGTGGGTAATTGCCTCTTTATTCTCCTTTTCTTTTTTCTCGTTCTTTCTTTATTTTTTGCTTTTTTCTCCTTTTCTGTTCATATATTTTTTCTCAATCATATTATTCCTTATTTTTTCCTCATCATAATCTGATTCCACACTCAATTTTTGGCTCCTTTCTTTTCATTTTTTTTATTTCTCTTTTTTCTTTCCTTTTGTTCATTTTTTTTATTTCTTGTTCCTTTTTTATTTCATTTAACTTTTTTTTCTTTTATTTCCCTTTTTTCTATATAATTTAATTTCATTAACTTAATTTTTGCACGGGTTGCACGCTGCAACGGATGTGTTATTTAATTGGAGAATCGGGTTGCACGCCGCAACGGAATTAATTATAAATATATTGGTGGATCGGGTTGCACGCCGCAACGGAATTGAATATAAATTTATTGGTGGATCGGGTTGCACGCCGCAACGGAATTAAATGAAAATTGATTATATTGGTGGATCGGGTTGAACTCTGCAACGGAATTTAAATATGAAATTATTGTGATATTTAGGTGAATTCCGATTGTAATTCTCATGATGCATTCCATGTTGGGATGGTTATTGTGGCTTCTTAAATCACTTCATTATATTTTGAACATAATTAATTAACCGTCAATATATTAAAAATGGGACAATATGGATTTCTTGTGTGAGTCATGCCTCCTATGTGATATGATAAGTTGTTGAAACTTAGCAGATTTAAATGAAAGAATTTTCAAGAGGTTCTACTTGTGTGTCTTTCAAAAATAAAACTCATATTTTATTCGGAGATTTATTAATCTAAATGGTGATTATGTTTCTACTCTAATTAGTATCTCAAATTTGATCATTATCTTATTGTCATGTAATTTACGTAAAAATATTATTATTTCGTATTACTTTAATAAATTCCATATTTATCTCGTTAATATTTGATTGAATGTCTTATTTGTATAAATATAATATTTTATCGGATATCATATATTTTTAAACTAAATTCAATTGATATTATATTTATACAACCTATCCACTATTTTACCTTATTTAAATCCTAAATTGGCTAAATAGCTCATTTGACAGTTTACTATGTTCAAGTTGGAATTGTGTTTGATTGTGTTTAAATTATTCATCATTTCATGATAAGGACGAGAGTAAAAGTACGATGGGTGATGCCGTGCCATTTTAATATTATAGTTGTACTCTGACTGTATTGTTGCTTAATTGCTTGATTGTTTGCTCGATGCCATCCGTGTTATCATTGTTTTCACTGTTGAATTGAATTGGAAATTCTTCTGTTATTGGCCTTATATTAATATTTTTTCCTTGTTAGCTTTATGTAACATATTGTACAAGTTTATATGTCTGGTAGGTGTCTTGACCTGGACTCGTCACTACTCCACCGATGTTAGGCTTGATACTTACTGGGTACCGCTGCGGTGTACTCATACTACGCTTCTGCACATCTTTTTGTGCAGATCCAGGTAACTCAAAGTTATTGATATTCTTGTTAGTTAATCGAGCATTGCTGTGGAGACTCAAGGTATACCTGTTGTCGCGTTCGCAGGCTTCGGAGTCACCTTCTGATATTTTTCTTACACTGTTTAATTCTATTCTGGAACAGTTGTATTTTGAGATTGTAGGAAGTTTCTATTACAAATTTGTTCCATATAATTGATTTCTTTATTATCATTTAAACTGAATTGTTAAAAATGGTTAAAATTATTCTAACATTGGCTTGCTTAACAAATAAAATATTAGGCGCCATCACGATCCCGAAGATAAAAATTTCGGGTCGTAACACACAAGGAGCGAGCCCGATTTTGACCGTATATAGAGCCAACCCTTGATTTGAAACTCGAAGATAATAGGGTCTACCCCTCTAATCCTCTCTATTTAAATATCAAATTTAGGTAACATGGTGCAGGGTTCGAACAAATCCCTCAATCTTTGCCATGTGAACTAATCTTAGTATCTCTACCAAACATTTCTTTAATCATAGTTCATTACAAATCTTTAATAGTGCATATGAATTTTTTTTACATTATGACAATAAAGTGTTCATAAAAATAAGTAGAATACGGCTATACATCATACNATATATATATAAGGAGTCCATTACTCAAAAGACCATTCAACTATTCAAAATTATAAACTAAAGTCACTTTACTTCATTTGTAAAAGGAAAGCCATTGAACTATGACTATTACACACAAATGGTCACTCAACTATTATACACAAATGGTCACTCAACCGGTATTATCAAAATTTTTGATGAAAAGATGTGACGTGACATTCTACATGAACATTTTATATTTTCAGACCAAATAAAATAATTTAACACCCAATCAATACCTAAAACATCCACTCATAAATCGTACTCGACCCGTTAAATGTCCACATGTAAAAACTCACCGGCTAAATGATACCTAAAGGCTAATTGCAAAAGCATCTCCCTTTTCTTATAAAATAAAGTGTTAATACCCTAAAACTCTTCTAAACTATTATGTTTTTGTTGTTTCCTACTTAAATTATTCTATATTCTCAAGAACCCCTGAATTATATTGTCCTTCATATTAAAACCCCC